GCACCATGGGCCCTGAGTATGGGAATTCAAAGGGATCTGAAGCATGGGCCCTTATGTATAGTGTATATAAGGGTTAGGGTTTAGGGTTTAGGGTTTAGGGTTTAGGGTTTAGGGTTTAGGTATAGGGTTAGGGTTTAGGGTTTAGGGTTTAGGGTTATATCACAGGGGACCCAAATTACGGCCCATCCTTGGGATCCCCTACGGAGCTCCCTGGTCCGGTCCCTTTTATCGCAGCCCAACCTCACATCTTTCAGAAGTCGCCCTAAAGTGGGCACCGGCACCTTCAACCCTGAAACTTGGGATGGTCCCCCCTTCTTCTCACATTGCTTCATAGGGATTGAAATAGGGGGTACTAGAATCCCCATTAAGGGCTGTTAGGGAAAGGGGGAACAGCCCAACCCAAACCCTAAGCCCTTGGCCTAAGGCTCTTTGCTGCCGTTGCGGCAGACCTATCCGTGGATGCAGGGGAGCGTCGCAGCGGGGTCTTGGGCCTAGTGGTGTTCGGTGTTGCATAACCAAGTATCAGGGTACTATACTTTAATACTTTTTTTGGTTCTGTGGTTCCTACTATAGCTACTTCTACCCAAAAAGTATATATTTTTTCGAGGGTCTACCCTAAACCCTTAACCCTGACGGAGAGCAGTGCCAGCTCACTCCAGACCTGAAGCCTTTACCCCTAAACCCTTAACCCTAGTGGAGAGCAGTGTGAGCTCACACTCCAGGCCTGAAGCCTTCACCCCTAAACCCTAAACCCTAAACCCTAAACCCTAAACCCTAAACCCTAAACCCTAAACCCTAAACCCTAAACCCTAAACCCTAAGCCCTTAACTTAGAATTAGCAACGCAGAGTAGGACAATCACCAACTGACGACAGGCTCGAACCTCATAAGTCCTGTTAACCTACATCCTAAACCCCCAAACCACCAAAACCAACATCAAAAGTAGGTAGTTTTCATAAAAATAGAACTAAAATACTAAATGCCTCGAAAATAAAGGCACATTTCGTATAAATACACACAAATCACAAAACACATTCTTATTTCAGACCCGAAACATAAAAAAACAAAAATCCCCGACTAACCCGATTGACTTTCTTACCCCTTATAACAAAACAAAATTGAAACCCAAAATACAATGAATACAGACATAATACCTTCACGTCCGGTGAAGACTCCTAAACCTGGACCCCGGGACCTTGCCCCTACAAGGTACCTCCCTAGCCGTAAATTCGTACCTCTAAACCCTAAACCCTACACCCCAAACCCTAAACCCTAGCCCTAAACCCTAAACTCTTGCAGGCACACTACAACCTTACGGCCACTTTTAGAGGGCGGTGTAGAGGGCTTCTGAATCTACCGAAGGCCACAGATGCCGGGGCGCTGCCAGAAGGAGAGGCACAAAGCTTGCCAGGTCTGGCACCCGATCTTGGGTTCAGGTTAGGGTTTAGGGGCGTAGGGGTTTCGGGGTTTAGAGGTTTAGGGGTTGAGGGGTTTAGGGGTTTAAGGGGTTTAGGGGTGTAGGGGTTTAGGGGTTTAGGGTTTAGGGTAATCGGGATTATAGTACCCCTATATTTTCCCTAGTCAGGTCTGTTAGTAAACGGGGAACATCCCAAGCTAGCCCAGTAGTAAGCGTTATTGCCTCCTTTAAGCGGCTCGGTTGGCTTACAGGGTTTGGGGTTTAGGTTTAAGGTCGAGAGTCTAAGATACTATAAACTCACTGTTTGTGCTTGCTTTGCTTTTGTTTTTTTTGGGGGGGCGGGCTCGGGGTGGTTGGAGGGTTGTGCGCGTGTGTGTTTGACAGTTATCAACGACAGGGGGGCGAGCAGGGTAAGCGTTATGTTCCGGTTACAAACCTTTGAAGAGCAGCTGAATTTCGGGCTTACCCTCACCTTGATCTGGGGGTTTACGAAAATAGGGGACCACCCCCCAGTATAGATCCCCAAATAGTAGGCACCCCTTAGAACAAGGACCATAAGGTACCCCATAATTTCAAAAGTAGCGCAGCAAGCAACAGTCTGCCATTTCCTGCTGCCCTGCTTCCCGGTCTTGAAGATAGCCTCTTGGGATGTTCGCCTTATTCTAAAACAGTCCTTAAATAGGGAGTATCATACGGGGTACTAGATTCCCTACTAAGGACTGGCAGTATAAGGGGGAACATCCCAACTAGCCTCTTCCGTGGCAGACGATTGGACAATTTCAATGCCAAGTCGATAACATGCAGGCCGTACACTACAGACACATCTCGCCCCCAGCGCAGCGTCCTGGACCCTATACGCCCTCGATCTGAGGCTTACACGAAGCCCTAAACCCGAAGCCCTAAACCCTAAGCCCTGAATCCTAAACCCGAAACCCTAAACCCTAATCCTTGCACGCCGCAGCCCTCGTTCTGAGGCTCCTCCACAGATCAGCCAAGCATTTCGGACTTCTGCCCAGGGGGAGAGAGAAAATATGAGTCTGCGGGTTCAGGGTTTCAGAGGGTTTAGGGGTTTCGCTTGGTTTGAGCAGCTCTGGAGCTTGTCGGTTTAGGGTTGAGGGCTTGGGGGTTACGTTTTTGTAGTGGGCGACGCTTGGTTCGTTTCGGGTTTTTTGGGTAGGGAGTGGGTTTGGGGCATAGGTCTCAGGGTTCAGGCTTCAGGGTTTAGGAAACGCTCAGCCTGCACTCGGCATCCTCAACTCAACCTAAACCTTGGGATGTTCCCCTCATACTCACAGTCCGTAGTAGGGATTATAGTACCCCTTACTTTAATCCCGATTAAGGACTGTTAGTATAAGGGGGAGCATCCCAAGCAGCCCCCAGCCCCCTAAACTCAACCTAAACCAACTCCAAGGTGAAGGAAGGGCTTCCAGGGGCAAGTCTTGTCGGATAGGCTTGGGGGTTCGGGCGTAGGGTTGAGGGTTCAATCAGGGTTTGACCCAAAACCCTAAAGCCGGTGTAGGGTTTAGGGTTTAGGGTTTAGGGTTTAGGGTTTAGGTTGGAGGTTGAGGATTGAAATATTCCTCACATATCAAGCTCTGTAACGCCCAACCGGAGGCCCAGGATACCTATCGAAGTGGGAGAGGACGGAAGTCTCTTGTTTAGGACTTGGGGTCCTCAAGTTTAGGGTATTCAGGGTATAGGACTTGAGTGCTTAAGTGTCTTCAGTGTGTAGGGTTCCTGGCCTTCCAGCCCTAAACCCTAAACCCTAAACCCTAAACCCTTCGACCACAGCCTGGGGGACCTCGCTGCTCGGCTCAGCTCAGCACGGGCCGTCGCTCTGTAGGGATCCCGCCGAGAAACAAAGTGCCTCAGCTGAGCAAAATGAAAACCCCTAAGCCCACAAGCCTCAAAATCTGGGGTTTAGGTTTTAGGGTTGAGGGTTTACGGTTTGGGGTTTTGGGTTTTGGGTTTTGGGTTTTGGGTTTTGGGTTTTGGGTTTTGGGTTTTGGGTTTTGGGGGGGGTGGGGGGGGGGTGGGGGGGGTGGGGGGGTGGGGGGGGGGGGGGGTGGGGGGGGGGGTGGGGGGGGGGGGGGGGGTGGGAATTGGAGGGCCAGAAGCTTGTGAAGGCTTGCCGGGGTTTTGAAGGCCAATCGTGTCAGCTTACCCTCAACCCACTCTGCCTTCCCAAGCACGAAGGCCCAAGGCTTGAAGGGCTTGAGGTCTCAGAACCAGGCCCTGCGGGGTTTAGGGTTTAGGGTTAGGGTTTAGGGTTTAGGGTTTATTGTTTAGGGTTTAGGGTTTAGGGTAACAAGTTCCTACTAAAGCCCCAAGCCTTCTGCCCTAAACCCTATAAACTCCTAGCCCTGTAAATCCCAAAATCCCGTGCCTGAAAGGTCAGTACCGGCCGGAGCTTTGTCTGTTCCGCCGCTAAAACCCACTCCAAGACTAGGATGCCCAGTAGTACCTGCCTTGCCTTAGGGTTTGGGTTCCCGTATCACCACTTTTAAACCCAAAAGGGTACCCTTTTTTTCCTAGGTTACTTACTGGGCAACCTAGAGCAAAACCCCACATCTTGAAGCACTAAACAGGCGATGAATGCCTGAACCATGTCATGCCAAGCCTTGAACGCTAAACCCCAAACCCTAAACCCCAAACCCTAAACCCTAAACTCAATGATAGTGTCTTAAGAGAGGGGGGTTCAGGGGGCGCGGGGGGGGGGGGGGGGGGGGGGCGGTATGGAACCCAAAAATCCCCGAACACTCACCAAGTCCCTTAAGAACCCTATAACTCACACCGTGAACCACAAGCGTTGAAAAATAAGCCCTGAAGAAGCCCCATACCTTGCAAGCCCAATCCCTAAACCCCAAGCACCAACCCTAAACACCCTAAGCCTAAACCCTAAGCCTTGCTACTAAGACCTAGAAGCCCTGAACCTGAATCTTGTAAACACCCTAAGTCCTAGACCCTAAACCCTGAACCCTAAACCCTAAACCGGAAGCACCCTAAGCCCTTTATCCCGGTTTGCAAGGCTGGAAGTTGCCATGGCTCGCCGAGGACGAAGCTTCGCGCCCCGCCCTGCGTTTAGCCACTATCAAACCCGAAGCCCTAAACCCTGAACCCTAAACCCCAAACCCTAAACCCTAAACCCTAAACCTAGACCGAAGCCCGAAACCCTCAGCCCCGAAAACACCAAAGTTCAAGCTGTTCACTAGGGTTCAGGGCTTCTGGTTTAGGTTGGGGGTTGCCCTTAAAAAAGGATTTAAAACACGCACAAATAAATGAAAACAATGCCTCTCGTTTGCGAGGGGTCTCCAGCGTGGGAGTTTCTTTACTTCGGTGTTGGCTGCATCTTTTCGGTCAGCCCCCACATGGCAGTTTGGGTTTAGGGTCTGAGGTTTAGGGTTTTGGGTTTAGGGTTTCGGGTTTAGGGTTTAGGGCTTAGGGTGCTTAATTCGGCATGTTGGGGCTCTGGGTTTAAGGTTCAGGGTTGTGGTGGAGCTTTGTATCAAACGAACGCCTAGCAATCGCTAAAGGCGATCCAGGCGCGGAGCACTGTCGCCACTGATTGCTGTGCAACCGAGGCAATGAGCCTCTGCCTGAGCGCAGTGGCAGCGATGGCATTGTGGCAGTTCGTGGCACCGGTGTTCGTGCAGCCCAAGAGCAACAGGGGCCTGGAGGCAGCCGCGCCGGCGGCCATGGGCGCTCTCGTCTCCATGGCCTCGTCTTTGCCTGCTGAGGCAACGGTCCCGGCCAAGGGGCCCCTCTACGGCACGGAGCTGTGCACCAAGCCCCTGATCTACGTCATCTACCCTCTGTGCGAGCCGGTCTTCCTGGTGTGCCCTCTCTACAACTTCCCGCTGGTCCTGGGCTTCTTCGCAGCCCTCGTCACAGTGATCAACCTGATCCTGCCCGAGACCCAGCCCGACGAGGACCTGAGGGTCGGCTGAGCTTGCCCATCATGACCTTGACGGGCTTAATTCCCAAGTTACATTCCATCAGCGACGATGTAAGTTAGTTTTCCCGGGCCGAGCCGTTTGGTGACAAGCGCGTGAACGCTGCAGAAACAAAAAAAGTCCTGCATGCCCATTTCCGGCAGGATGGTGATCATACTGTACAAGACAAAGGCGTCTTGGAAAGTAGCGCCAGCTAGGATTCGCCACAGTTGAGAATAGCCACTTGTTTAGAATGTTGTTGCGCGGCGAGTCAAGCGAAAGAGCTGTCAGCAAATGAGCGAAGCATGTTGTTGAACTTGGTTTGCGCAAAGTGCAACTGAGCTATGAGCACATTCGAGAGCAGCTATCGCCTTCTTTTCGGCTGCAAAGCTGGTTTTTACGAGAGTCTGACGGCACTTCCTCTCCAATTCCGGCAAGGTTTTGTGGCAGTCATGGCCCGCCGTGGACGCAGCCTCGTGATGAGCCTCTGCCTGAGCGCAGTGGCAGCGATGGCATTGTGGCAGTTCGTGGCACCGGTGTTCGTGCAGCCCAAGAGCAACAGGGGCCTGGAGGCAGCCGCGCCGGCGGCCATGGGCGCTCTCGTCTCCATGGCCTCGTCTTTGCCTGCTGAGGCAACGGTCCCGGCCAAGGGGCCCCTCTACGGCACGGAGCTGTGCACCAAGCCCCTGATCTACGTCATCTACCCTCTGTGCGAGCCGGTCTTCCTGGTGTGCCCTCTCTACAACTTCCCGCTGGTCCTGGGCTTCTTCGCAGCCCTCGTCACAGTGATCAACCTGATCCTGCCCGAGACC